CTTTCCCTTAATTAAGCATTTATCCAAATCATCACTTTTTTCTGCTAATTTTCAATTTAGGCAACTAATTAATCAGATTAATTAAAATATATTTAATTTCATTATCACGAATTCTCTCTCTCCTCCCTTGGGAGCAGCAAGAAAGACGTTGGTGCTCACTGTTCATAGAGATCTCACTGAAAAAGCATCCAAATGAAAATGTAATAAATGGGAAGAGAGAGAGAGGACACAAGAACGAGAGAAAAGAAGAAAAACTTTCCCTTTTACCAAACAGACAAAAGAGCTTGGAGAGAGAGAGAGAAGAGAAAAGTGTGTGAATTTGGAAAATTTTCCCACTCTCTGGATATCTTCACTTCGATCTCTGACTCATGATTCTCGGAATTTTTCGCCTCAGCTATTGAATCTCTCTATTTGAGGTTCTTCCTTACCTTGCCCGTTGAAGCTCAAGCTCGATCTTTCTCACCCCCTTGTTCGTATCTTCACCTCTCGCCGGTTATCGGTTTTACATTTGATGTCTTTCGGACCAAAGTCTTAGACTTTGCAGTTTCTCTTCGAGTATTCTGGGTCTGGGTTTTGTTTTTCTTGGAGCTAGTAAGCTATTCAACACAGTTCCAGATTAGGGTTTTAGGGAAGTTCTGGTCTTGTTGCTCCGCATTAATTTCTCCGCTGAATTTTTGTAAAGGTATCGTATTTCTAGCGATTCTGGGCGAATTTCAGGTGCCCATTTATGGTTTTTGTTTCTATTTCTCTATTTGCGTAGAGAAATTTTGTTGCTTTGGGTAGGGGAAGATCTCATAGTGCGAATTCTTCCTTCCTTTTTTGTAGAAATCAATCTGGGAGTCATCATTCTCCCCAATTCTTGGGCTGTCCTGTTTGCTAATGTGTTTCCCAAGTACTGGGAAAGAGAGAGCTCTTTAACGAGTATTCTCTTGCTCTGGTGATTGTGGAGATCTGGGATTTGTTTCATCTCTTTTGCCAAATGAGGACTTTGTTTCCGTCTGATTCTTGTAAAGAATCACAGCTCAATGCCTTCAATCCACAGTCATGGCTGCAAGTTGAAAGAGGGAAGCTTTCGAAATTATCTTCCTCCCCTTCCTCCTCTGTGTAAGTCGCTCTCCCCCATTTTGCATCACGAGCTTGTTCATAGTCTTGTTTGAATCCACTAGTGGGTTTTTGATGAAATGTTGTTTGCAGAGACTCATTTATCAAGGTTCCCGATCCGCCAGTGCTGCCGTACTATAAACCACTTGACTATGTAGAAGTTCTAGCTCAACTTCACGAAGAACTCGAGACGTGTCCTCCACAAGAGAGGTCGAGTCTCTATCTATTGCAGTATCAGGTGTTTACAGGCTTACGGGAAACCAAACTTCGACGTAGAAGTCTTCAATCGGCTTGGCAGAATGCTACTACTGTTCATGAGAAAATCGTGTTCGGGTCCTGGTTAAGGTATGAGAATAAAGGGGAAGAAGTTATTGCCGATTTGCTTTCCTCTTGCGGTAAATACGCTGAAGAATTCGGACCCTTTGACATTGCTTCTCGTGTTCCTGTTACTGCGAATGCTGTGGCCCCTGAGACAGCATCGACGAGAAGGAAGCACCAAGTGTCCGAGAAGGTGGTTTTTAAGATTGGAGATGAGAAAATAGCCTGTGACAGGCAGAAAATCTCGGGTCTTTCTGCTCCATTTCATACCATGCTTAATGGGGATTTCACGGAGTCACTCCTAGACGAGATAGATATGTCGGAGAATGATGTATCGCCATCTGCTATGAAGGTTGTCGGAGATTTCAGCGTCGAGGGTGTTCTAACCGAAGTTTCCAAGGACCTTCTATTGGAAGTATTAGTTTTTGCAAACAAGTTCTGCTGTGAGCAACTCAAAGATGCATGTGATAGAAAACTGGCATCTCTAGTTTCCTCGATCGAAGATGCTGTCGAGATTATGGAATACGCCCTTGAAGAGAGCACTCCAATCCTTGCCGCCTCGTGTTTGCAGGTTTTTCTGTACAAGATGCCCGATAGTTTGAACGATGAACGTGTTGTTGAGATTTTGGCCCGTGTTAATAAATCGCAGGTGCTGACCATGGCAGGACAAGCCTCGTTTTCCTTGTACTCGTTCTTAAGCGAAGTGGCAATGCATCTAGACCCTCGGTCCGATAAAAGACTGGCTTTCTTCGAAAAATTGGTTGACTTTGCGGAAAATGACCAGCAGAGAATACTCGGGTTTCATCAGTTGGGATGTCTGAGGCTTTCAAGGAAAGAGTACAACGAAGCCGAAAAACTCTTTGATGCCGCCTTTAATCTAGGCCATGTGTATTCCGTCGTCGGGTTGGCAAGAATAGGTTACGTCCAAGGCCATCGGCTCTGGGCTTACGAGAAGCTAAGCTCGGTTATCTCCTCTTGTACCCGTACCCCTCTCGGCCGCGTGAACAGCCATGAACCTTGAAAAACTCAGTTCGGAAGTTTCTTAACGGAAACTCTTGTCGGAATCATGCCGTGTAATTTCTCCGGCTGTAATTCTTTGTTGTTATTATCTATCTGTTCATCTTTCTCTCTCTCTTTCGAATCCCATCTCTCCGAATCCATTCGACCGCATTTTCGTCACACATTTCCGTTTATAAATTCAAGATCCAAGAGACCGATTTATAAGAGCGACCGAGCTGGACCCGACATTGACATACCCTTACATGTATCGAGCTGTCGCGCTAATGTCAAGACAAGATGCTAAGGCAGCAGTCGAGGAAATCGACCGAGTCCTTGGGTTTAAACTTGCTTTGGAATGCTTGGAAGTCAGGTTCTGTCTGTATCTGGCAATGGAGGATTACGAGTCAGCTCTTCGAGATATCCAGGCGATTCTTACTCTGGCCCCGGATTATAGGATGTTTGAAGGGAAAGTAGCGGCCAGACAGTTGCGGATACTCGTTCGGGAGCACGTCGAGATTTGGACAACTGCTGACTGTTGGATGCAGTTGTACGAGAAATGGTCGAATGTTGATGATATCGGCTCGCTTTCTGTCATATACCAGATGCTGGAATCTGATGCAGCTAAAGGCGTTCTTTACTTCAGACAGTCTTTGCTCCTCCTGAGGTATGCTTTTAGTGTAAGTGCATAATTGTGGATCTTTGACATTACGAGTGATGGGTTTTGATTCAATTTATCAAAAAAAGATCGAAACTTTTGTGACCCGAAAGCACATTCGAACATGTACTCGATCCAAGTATCTCAAATGATGGCTTTTGGTTCAGTTTATCGAAAAAGGATCGAAACTTTTGGTGACCCGAAAGGTCATTCGAACATGTTTCTCTCGGTCCAGGCATCTGATTGTTCGTATATTTCTTATGAACAGGTTGAACTGTCCTCGAGCAGCCATGCGTAGCTTGCAGTTAGCACGTGAGCATGCGTCGAGTAAGCACGAGCGTCTGGTTTACGAGGGATGGATATTATACGACACGGGTCACTGCGAGGAAGGGCTTCGGAAAGCAAAGGAATCTATTGAGATAAAAAGATCGTTCGAGGCTTTTTTCCTCGAAGCATATGCATTAGCCGAATCCAGTCTCGACCCGTCGTGTTCTGCAACTGTCGTTTCGCTTCTCGAAGAGGCCTTGAAATGCCCTTCGGACAGGCTCCGGAAAGGCCAGGTACTGTCGCATCCCGTCTCTACGCCTCTGAATTACATGAAAACTATTAGGGTTTGGGAAAACAAACCAAATTCTGGACACTGACCCGACTCTTATGAGATGAGATCCAGGTTATAGTGTGAACAAACCCGAAAATAGGATTCGAGCTCGGATTCAGATAATTGGGTCCAAGATCCAACCGTTAATACTTGGATGAACTGTAACATGACATATATAAGAACTGATCCATATCGGATGAGTTCTTATATGATATTTATCTTGAAATTTTTTGAAATTTCATGTTTAAACTGAGGTTAAGATATATGTGGATATCCGAAAATTATCTTTAGCACTCGAAATCCGAGTATCCTATCAAAACGGATCCAAAATTGGGTAATATCATCAGACCCGTGATATTTGGGTTTTGTTCGGGTAATCCGAAAATCTCGGTATCTGACCCGTATTCACTCCTCCGGGATACGATTAGATGTAGCGGATACCAAATTGTTGTAACATCCGTTGGTTTTCAGGCTTTGAACAACCTCGGGAGCGTGTACGTCGACTGCGGAAAGCTAGACTTAGCAGCAGATTGCTATATCAACGCCCTTAAGATAAGGCACACCCGTGCACACCAGGGCCTTGCCCGTGTTCATTACCTCCGGAATGATAAATCCGCCGCGTACGACGAGATGACCCGACTTATCGGGAAAGCCCGGAACAATGCATCTGCTTATGAGAAGCGGTCGGAATACTGCGACCGGGAACTCGCTAAATCAGATCTCGAAACTGTCACCCGGCTGGACCCCCTCAGAGTCTATCCTTACCGATACCGAGCAGCAGGTTCGGATTTTTTTCACGCCCCTCGTCCTTTGAATACATCGTTCATATCCGCTGCCACCCGTGAGTTAAACCCCGAAGCCCACGATTTTTTTTTTTTTTTTTTGATGTTGGTGTGGTCAGTGTTGATGGACAGTCACAAGGAGAAGGAAGCGATAGAGGAGCTGTCGAGGGCGATAGCATTCAAAGCCGACCTTCATCTTCTCCATCTACGGGCAGCGTTCCATGAACATGTCGGAGATGTGGCCGGAGCATTAAGGGACTGCCGAGCCGCCCTGTCCGTAGATCCTAGCCATCAAGAAATGCTCGAGCTCCACAGCCGCGTGAACAGCCATGAACCTTGAAAAACTCAGTTCGGAAGTTTCTTAACGGAAACTCTTGTCGGAATCATGCCGTGTAATTTCTCCGGCTGTAATTCTTTGTTGTTATTATCTATCTGTTCATCTTTCTCTCTCTCTTTCGAATCCCATCTCTCCGAATCCATTCGACCGCATTTTCGTCACACATTTCCGTTTATAAATTCAAGATCCAAGAGACCGATTTATTTCTCTAATGGCAACGCATTTTGGACCAAAACATTATAAAACCCTCTAATTCATTTCCTGTGACTTGGAAGCGTTTGTTTTCGAAATTGTATAAATATTTTATCTGGTCAATACAATATATATATATATATATGTATATATGTATATATATAATAGAGAGTTGTGTTATTGAAATAAAAGTATGGAAAAACATTATAATGTGGGATGGAATATATTCGGTTTGCATGGTTGGTGGTTTGGTCGTGTCTCCGTGGATAATTATGCATAGTCACATGATGTTGGATAAACGCATGGCCCTTTGAGAGAAAGCGAGGCCCTTTTATTTTCATCGTCATCATGTAAATTACCAAAATAGGCACGACAAGGCCATGTGCTAAATTCGCTCCAAGGTCTCTCTCGTGGGGGCAAAATCGTTAAACACTTTGGGAAATTCCTTCGCAGCGTTATCTTCGGCTTTGGAATATATACATACATACATATATATATATATATTTTCTAGAGATATAAAAGATTTTTTTATAAAAAAAAAAAAGAAAAGAAAAAAGAAAGGGGATCAAAGTAAACGATATTCCTCATGGTGGGGTTTGAACTTTGAATGAACACCTCCTTTTTTTTGTATTTTCCTTTTTTTTTTTTAATAAAGAGTGGACTAGGATTTGCATGAGCATTTTGTCACCACATATATATATATATATATATATATATATAGTTGTATACGTGGGAAATGTGAGAATATTATAAGGGAAGAAAAAAGATATAAAAAATATTTACAATCATATGATTAACCAAATATTCCATTTGTATTCATCAAAGCCAAGCTGCCTTTTTTTAAGTGCATATTCTTCATGGCTTTGTATAAGTTAGTGTCTTTTCTTCAATCTTTCTCGGAAATATTTAAAGGGTTTCTAGTATACAAGGGGTGGGTTTGCACGTTCGGATATTCGAAAATTGTAGAATGTCAAAACATCTCAATTATTAAGATTCGAAATCCAATCTCATATCTTTGGACTTTAAATACAATATCTAAATTTTGGACCATCAAAAGAATTTCCCAAATTTCAATTTCATTAAAAAAAAATAAACTGTATTTTTTGTAAAATTTTACTAAATATAGGATGTTTCTGTGATTAAAAAATATAATTTTATAATTTAAAAAACTCAGATAATTGCATAACTTTAATTAATATATGAATGATACTTTTGTAATTAATTACGTGGGTTATTCTAAATATCATGAAATCAAAACCTCTAAAACCCTACAAAAACAATTATATCAATTATAAATCCAAACTCGCATATACATATACATGTATATATGTATACTGTTATATAGTTGAGACAAAGATCACTTAGTTCCTAGTTTATAATAAACAAGAAGAAGTGGCCCTTGAGTCACTTTCATGGAAGAGCTTCCTTTTCCTTTTTCTTCTGGTTCGTTTTCTCCTTCGTCCATCATACAAATGCTAATCCCACACTTTGCTTTAATGTTCGGTAACATTCAAACCCTTTTTAAGGTTTTGGGTCTCTTATAAAACATATGCTAAGACAGAGACATATCAATGTTATTCCAATAACCTCACCAGAAAGCAACATTTGCTTCGTTTCACTCTTTTCTCTTTTTGTCCATCTGAATTGAGGGTGTCTGGCGTTTGCTAAAGCAACCTATTCCCCCCCCCCCCCCCCAAAAAAAAAAAATTGATTTTGAATCGTTATTTATTGGTTTATATGCATGCATGCATGCATGCATATAATAGTTCTCTCTCAAGTGAAATATAGCATTTAATTTATGGTTAATTAGGGGAATGCAAAAAAAAATTACGTTCTCAACTATAGTATTTTTATACACGATGAATAAAAAAAGAATTACAAATTAACCCATGTTGCGGAAACTAAGACCAAAAAAAAAAACTTTTTCTTGAGAAATTACTACACATATATATATATATATATATATATATATATATATATATATATATATATAACGATTCGTTTGTTGATAATTATTTTGAAGAATTTGGTTGAGACAACGTTACAGTCTATTTTTCTCTCATTTTCCATATTTTTTTATGGGGTCTATGATATCCTTTTCCTCTCATAGGCATTTTAAGTGTATGCTTAGTCTGATGCTGTAATCATCACTCTTCCCTCTCTGCACTGTTCATCTACAAAGCCCTCATGCCACAGTCTGCACCTCACAGAAGAAAATTTAAAAAAAAAATGTTAAAACATAAAAGGCGGTCGATCATTATTAATTTAATTAAATAAAAACTAATTCGAATTCTCTCTTTATCTGTGTACATAGATTCATACAAAATGGGCATCAAACAGTCTTTTCACCAATCTCCTCGCTTCTCCTTTTCCACATTTTCATCGCCAGCATGCATTTATTGTTTGCACATTTGTATGTAAAAATACATGTGTGTACAATTACGGATAGCGACCTTGGAGAATAATCCATCATAGTCGTCCTCTTCACGAGATTCATTCTGCTTTCGAAACGTATACCCACATACATATATCCTTACACCTATACATATACATACACGCATGACATAAAGAGAGAAAAACACACACACACGTATATACATATATGACCTATATTTTGTGCATATATAGCCAAAGAATGACGCCTTTCTGCATTGTAGGTATTTGATCTGAGGTATAGAACAGAGAGGTGTGCTTCCTTAAAACCGTATCAAACAAAAAGAAAGAGGTTCAAATAAGACCAAAGTTGGGATCTTTTTTTGCGGTTGAGCTTTTGTTGTTCTTAGCCCTTGGAGTTTTCTTCTTCATAGCCATGGCTATGTTCCCTTCTTGTACTGTCTCCCATAAATTTTGTTCTCTTTCTGAGGAAGCGAGTGCCTCTTCTGGTAATAGAGTGGTTCAAGGTTTCGGTGGCCTCAACAACGTGGTTTCCTCTTTCAGTGCACCTCAGAAACCCAAGAAAAGGAGAAGCCTTCCTGGTAATCCCGGTAACTAAATCTTGCTTTTTCCATCATCAGTTTGTGTTCATTCCCTTTCTTTCATCTGGGTGCCTCATTTTTTTCAAATCAGTCCCCAAACTTTCTCCATCTCCCATTAGGGTTTGCGCTGAAAACCTGAAAAGGCCAGTCTTTTGAACCGGTTTTCATGTTCAAGGTTAAAACTTTTCACCTGGATTGATCTTGCCTGATTCTGAGTTCTTGAAACATGGCAGACCCAGATGCCGAGGTAATCGCACTGTCGCCAAAGACGCTTTTGGCGACCAACAGGTTCGTTTGTGAGATATGTAAGAAAGGGTTTCAGCGAGACCAGAATCTGCAGCTTCACAGGAGAGGGCACAATCTTCCGTGGAAACTGAAGCAGAGAAACAGCAAAGACACAAAGAAGAAGGCGTATGTCTGTCCGGAGCCAAGCTGTGTGCACCACCACCCATCTAGGGCTCTTGGTGATCTCACGGGGATCAAGAAGCATTACTGCAGAAAGCACGGCGAGAAGAAATGGAAGTGTGACAAGTGCTCAAAGATCTATGCGGTTCAATCCGATTGGAAAGCTCACACTAAAATTTGTGGTACTAGAGAGTATAGGTGCGACTGCGGCACCCTTTTCTCAAGGTAACTTTTGAATTCTTTTTCTTCTTATTATCTCATGATCGATTCCCTTTCTTTCCCCTTTTCTTGTCCTCTTTTTTTTTTTTTTTTTTTACGCAGTTATATGTGTTTCTGTGTTCATGTTGGCAAGATCTAAAGACCTTTCTTTTCATTGTTTGTCCTTGCAATTTGTTAATGATAAGTTAGCTAGGGTCTACACATATATAAACGGGACTCGGTCTAAGTGTCTATGGTTTTTCTTGGACTGTTTAAGGGATTTATTAGGTAAAAATAATGATCAAGGTTAGTGTCATAAATGTTAAGATATTATTATTTTAATGGTTAATTTCATTGGATATTCTTGCACAAGACGTTGACTAGTAGTGTCTGCGTTCGTCGAATACATACGGTTTGAGATTAAATGCAGTGGGAAAATTCATGGAGTAGGGCATGCATGCCCATTAACTCATGCGTACGTCTGTTTCTTTGTTGAGTTATTGAAGGGAAAAAAAACCCTCTATATCTATCCAAAATATATAGACCAAAAAATGTAATGGTTTCTATAGTATCAGGGAAATGAAACTAAGACCTAAAAGATTCTGTAACGAGCATACCATAAATCAAACTCATCGAGTTAGATATTCTTTCTCAGCCCATATATATTAGGACACAATGCATGCATGCATGCATGTATGATTCGATATAGTATGTTGGATATTGTTACAATTTTTGTGTGTGTAAACATTGTTTTTCTTGTATGATTCTTGTTGTAAGTTTGTTATACAAATGGGGTATATATATATAGATACAGTCTACAGAGAAATGATGTCCATTAATAAGTAAAAAGTCCTGCATTTTTTTTTTTGGGGTCTTTGGAATAAAATGTGTTGAATTATGTATGTTCCATAATTGAGGTGTAGGACAAGGGAAGCCCGTGAGTCTTCTATCATAATGCTGAAAAATCTGCTAGAGAATCTGATACGCTGATGATACCAATAATCTCTCTCTCTCTCATCTGCATTATATTATGTGTATCTACATGCGTTTTGCTATATATGTTGCATGGGTCATGTAAGTTTCAAAAGCTTTTTGTTTGATGGTGCATGACTTTTGCCAATTTCTTGAAGTTTTCGGCTTCCAAGTGGTCCACCCCCATAATTAACTCTCTGCATGCACTGTCATCATCATATCCATGCATCTTTCTTGTATGTGTGCCTGTATATATATATATATGTATACACACACTTAACATATATTCAGATTTAGAAATCATCATATTACATGCTAATATATTTTAGAAGAGATCATATATATATATATAGATAATGTGATTTCACTTTTCATTATTATTAAGCCCACTAGCTCATCAATAATGTTCTCAAAATGGGACACTTGCAAACACCACAACTTTTTATACATATTCCTCTTGTAATCAATATACTGCATTTTGCATGGAAAAGCATAAACCTCATGGACCCATGTCTCCGACCAGACAGATTAACTCGATGCTCATCGTGTAAGAACCACACGTGACCACATTTTCTCCTAATATTGTCGCTCTTGCTTCTTTTTTTTTGTTGTGAAAATAAATCTATTTCTCTAATCAAACTTCGTCCTGTGTCGGAATAATTGTACAGGAAAGACAGCTTCATAACACACAGGGCGTTCTGTGATGCGCTGGCAGAAGAAAGTGCGAGAATCCTCTCGTGTGCTTCGTCCAGCATGTCCCATCTCGCAAATCCTAACCCTAATTCCATCATCCCTCTCCAAAACCAGTCCTTTATCTTACAAGACAATGACATGGTCAAACCCTCCTCCTCTTCTTCTCCCTTTATGGTCAAGTCACCTCACCTGGACCCGCTCGCCGCCACGTCATCATCCTCGGCGGCCCTTTCTGCCACGGCCCTCCTCCAGAGAGCTGTGGCGCTCGGAGCCGTCGTGGGAGGGGGCGGTCAGACGCAGTCCGTAGGTCATCACCAGAACCACCACATGACAGCCAACGAGATACTCGGCGTAAACCGTCATGACGAGCCAAGTCACGTGTTGGGAGTAGGGTCAACTCCTTGGTGGGTTTGGTGCAACGTGGCAGAAGGCTGCCGTTTGACCAGGGACTTTCTTGGGCTCACGGGTCACAACCACCACGGGATCAGTCGCACGGACGATAGCAATCTTGCGCACGTTAGCATGAGCGCGGAGGATGCGTTAGAGTACGCAGGTGGGGTGCAGTTTTCGTTGCCGTTTGGTAACGAATAAACGTCACCGCATCAGAGGCCTCAAGATTTGGGATTTTTCGGGCTCCTACCAAGCAAGCGTGGGAGAGAGAGAGAGAGGGTATTGACATGAAAAGACTAAAATGGCCATCCCACCGTATAGACTGGTGGAGACACCTTATGGAATTTGGATTTGGGTGACGTGGATTATTTTGAATAGTCCACTTCGTTAAGATTATAGTTAATTTCTATTGATTACGCACGCTTCTCTTTTTAAAATGTCACGTACCATATATCTGATGCATTTCGAGTTAATATATATATATATATATATATATGAATCAAGTTTAATTAACCTTAAAAAAGAGTTTAATTAACCTATATATGATTGTCACGTTATATATGTATCTATCTGCATTATGGCTTAATGGAACGGGGTTTGCTTGATATATATATATATATATATATATATATATATTAAACTTTCAACGTATAACAAAATCATGTTATGTGTTGGTTTGGTGGTGAATGCTACGTGCCAACTAACAATGTCATCGTGACTTATTATATATATATATATAGATAAATTTAATTTACAACATCATGATAATTGAGAGAAACGATAAGAGGGTTGATTAGAGGGATAGCAATTGCACAAAAGATGAACCGAGAATTTGTCGGGATTGAGGATCGTGTCATTTCAAGCCAGCTTGTTAGATAGTGATGCAAAGCACATTTCCACATTCATCTACTAATTAAAAATTTAAAATCATATATATATATATATATATATATGCATATATATGTAGGTGACATGTTTACGATGTATTGATCTACGTAATATTTATTGGCTGTGACCTTTTTTTTTTTTTTTGTAATTGTCGTGATTTTATCATTATCATACATGCTGGAAGAGAAATCCTTTTTATAACATGTTCAAATCCAATCTAAATATTTTTAGATATAACTTTATAAATATCAGGAAAAAGAATTCAAATAAAATTTGAATATGATAAATATAGAAGAAAATAAAATAAAATAAAATATAAAGGATTTGTAACGGAAAATAGTTTGAAAATTCAACAAAGTTGTCAAGCACGTATGAAATCCCAATTGGAAGATTTTTGTGAAAGCATGCATTTATCAATTCCCAATGCATCCTTTATTTATCAAAAATATAATCACGTGACAAATTTTGGCATACATTTTTCTTAAGATGAATTTAATAATACGTTATCTATTTGTTATTCGTTGTTATGAATGGTGTTAGATACGCGTGATCCGTGCAAATACAAATTCAGCAGTAGCTTATCTTTTTTTTTATATATATTAGGAACACATTAATATAATAAAAATAAAAAAAATTAGTTACACAAAATTTATTAGACACACTAAGATATTTTCGCTATAAATTTCTATAAGTTTCACATGAAAATATTTTTTAACAAAACTAATCGGGACAAATGGTCATATGGAATTATATATATATATATATATATATATATAAATAGAGGTGGTCTTGTTACTCTTGCCAGAAATTAAAGGAAGGGGAAAAAGTGAAAGGTGAAAAACAAAGGTCAACAAAAACACCTCTCCTTGAAAACAACACACTTTCTTACACTTAATTTTTCCATGCTACAATTCTTTTTTTGCTTTGATCTTATTAACCTTATAATTGGAGATTTTTAATTTGCTCCAATATATATATATATATATATATATATATGATATTGATTTGTTTTTTTTAATTAAATTAACCCAAGTTATGGAATTCTCTACTAACGCTATCCCAAATTCAAAGTTGCAAACATGAAGATAAAATTTATTATACATATTTCTTTCGTGTGATTTACATACTATTATATGATAGTAAAAAATTTTCCAAGTACGCATTCGAAGGGTAACGATTCCGGATTTCCATGTTATAAAAAAAATAGAAGCCAATGGGTTCATCAAAAACGTGGATCTTGGTGACAAACAAAAAAAATTATCAATATACAATATGAGCAATTCATCAATATGTAACTCTGATTACCTATATTAGGAATTTAATATCCAGAGAGAGAGAGAGAGAGAGAGAGAGAGAGAGAGAGAGAAGTGGATGGATTTCCATGCTTTAAAAAGTGCATATGGAATTTTACTTTAGCGAAAATGGTACGTTCAACAAAGAGTATACTACGAGGAAATTGACAGATAGAGACAGAGAGAGGCCTGGGGATTAATGAAATTAGCAAGGTGGGCGTGATGTATTTTATATCCCATGCTTTTTATTTTTATTTTTTTTATAAAGTATAATAACAAATCGACAAGTATTTACATTATATATGCAAGTATATTAGAACATTAAAAAAATGTTTTTTTTTTTATAATTTAATTGTGCATTCAATTCCGCGTGGGCCGTTTCCCCTCTATTTTCCGGTCAACCGGTGGGCCTGGTGGGTATTGGAGGCCCAGATAGGCAATAGTTGAAGTGGGCTTTGAACATTCAAAGGCCCACTTTCCTTTAAATTTATATTTTCCATTTTGACCCCTGTGTTTTTTAATATTCCGTTATCCACCCAGATTAAATTTTCCTTCACCGATATAAACCTTCTTAGCGTCGTTGTTATTTGCGTTTCAAGTATAATCCGTGTAAGAAATATCTGATATATACCGACATATTTGAATTTTAAAATATTTTTTAAAAACAATGAACATGTGTGTGTGTGTGTATATATATACACATATATTCACATGTAATTAATTTTGGGTGTAAAGTTTTGACAATGTCAAGAAATGCGATTGTTATTCTTGACCTAACAACAGTGACTTTTATTTCCGGTAAATGATCTTTAATATATATATATATATATATATATATATCGTTTTCAATGGATTTACCAAATTTAAAATCTTGAGCGATGTTGGAGCAATAGGAAAATCCATTGGGAATAACTTTATATTACTTATTGATTTTCAAAGAGGGTAACTTGCACTCAATTAAAATATTTTTAATTTCCAAATGATATCCATAAACTAATTAAGGAGGCTTTCATGCGAAGAGGTATTTATTTATATTTTACATAAAATTATTGTATGATTTCGTTACAACATGGTAAGCATGCACCATCGACATGCATGATGGCTTAGTTTTCAAGACTTGCGTCTGTATATTATTACAAGACAAAACTCTCGAGAAATAACCAACGGCTACATGGCTTTGGTCCTTTTTTTTTTTTTTTGGTTAGGTTTGAAATGCTTATTAAAATAAAAAAAATCCCAGTTATAATTTTGGGAATAATTACGAAAAAAATTTATATAAGCTCTTCGACAAATATCCAGTTGGGGAGTTCCCGTGTCCCATAGAGGTCACCACGTCTAGTTTGTCAAGCCTCGTCTGGACACGTGGCATTCTCGTGATGTGGATCCCACATCGCTCGTTTGAACGTGAAAGGAAAAAAGTTAGTGTTTGACCCCGGATTTCTTATTAATTTCATATTTGGACTCATTAGTATTAAATAATCACACAAATCCTCTCAAGTTTTGTATTCGTCACACCTACGCCCCATGCATGCATGACACCTAACTCTTTTGCAGTTATAGTATTGCTGCTCATTTTGGTCTTAAAATTTATAAATCTCTAATCGGAACAATTTCTATTTTTAATAAATTTTGAAAATATTAGAATACTAATGTTTAATTCAACATTCAAATATTATTGGATATGATCTCATTAGTTATATAGAAAAACACACATTTAATTTTCAAAAGTTTTGTAATGATTATATATAGACATTATCCTTGTATATATAAGTGTCTGATACTTTGATTAATTTACATTAAACATAGAAGTTAATCTATATGTATATTTATCATCCGTTACTTTCGCTTTTTGGGATAATATTTTATTTACATACATATTTTTCAAATAAATTTGGTAGCTTATGCATAAAATGGTATATACGTCCGTCTCTTTTAAACTATGTTAGGTAAATGACAAAGCACCATTTCGTACTCTACAGGCTCACATATATATATATGCCTTCCAAGACAAGTGGGGCTAAAGTGTCATTTATAAAAATAAGGGTTTGAAATTAATATAAACAGAAACTCTGAGGGCAAATATAGCTAAAAATTGGGAAATTTTAAATCTATTTTTAGGGAAAAAAAACAAAGGGAAGAAGAATAAGAAGAAGAAGAAGATCGCGTCTAGAGAGAGAAGGAGAGAAGACTTGAGCGAGAAACAAGGCGCGGAGACGCCGTCAACAAAAAAAAAAAAAAACAAGAAGACAGCAGAAGAACAAAAACCAAACGAAGAAAAAGAGAGAGATTAATTACTGTTTTCGTTAAATGATCAACGAAATATATTATTTTTTTCGGTTAATCAACAAAAAGATCGCGTCTTTCCGCTCTCTTCTCTTGTGCCTTCCCTTCGTCAAAATCCGTTTCCCATTTCGTCAAAATTAGCAACGAGATAGGAAAAGGGAACAAGGGTTGAGGGCGTTGAATCGCAGATCGGAATTTGGATCTCAGATCTTCTTCTTGACCCGAAACCCTAATCTGACGCATTGCCCCAGCTTAATTCGATCTAAGTCTGGGATTTCTGTGTTTTCCTTCTTCTTGTCTCGATCTTTTGCCGGGTCTTTTCAACATGTGTTTCCGGTGGAAGATGAGATTGTGAGATTGATTTTAGTATCGTCGGCTGAAACGGGTCGATTCCGAATCGGAGACTCGGATCTGGGTCGAGTTGGACCGAGTCAGGTCTGGTCAGGTGAGGTCGTCGGATGAATGTTTCTAGGATCGAAGGGCAAAACAATGAAATGGGCAACATTGCTCAAGGACATCAAGGAGAAGGTCGGGCTAGCTCAATCCTCCGCCCCGGCGATCGCCGGCGCCGGCGCTTCTGATGCCACTGCTCTGTCGTCTTCCTCCTCTTCTCCATCTTTTAATGTTGGCGCCTCTGCTCTACATGACCTCAATTTATTGTCTCCCTCAAGGTTAGATTTTTCCTCCCCTTCCTCCCCTTTTTATGTTTGTTGCTATTTTTTGTGCTTGTTTCTCGTGCTGGTTCTGTGGTTTGTTGTTTTTGCATTTCTTAGTTCTTGTGGTTTCCGGTTGATATGGTTTGTTGACTTTGCTTGTATCTTAGCTCTGATGGTTTTGGGGACCTGACTTTAATTTCTTTGCCTTCGTTCCCTTTGAAAAGGCTTTAAGTCATATAAAATAGCTCAGTTAGGATCATTCTCAGGTAACGATGAACTGTTTGAACTGAACCATTGTGCCTAAGTTTAACATTTTAAACTAATTTCACTGAATGTCTGTTGCGAATGACTTTGCCAAGAGATTTTGTTTGATGTGCATATCCTGCAATCTATCTGCAGTCTACAACGGCTTTAATACTTTAGGATTTTGTGGTGTATGGGGTAAATCAATTTTTTTTGTGTTTGGATTCAATTCCGATGTAGGAGATGAGAGACATCAGAAAACTAGATGGACTGAGTTGGATGAGCTATATCTTTGAAAATATGTGAATGTTGTGATTTCAAGTGGATGATCTGAAAAGTCCCATGTAGCTATAGTTGACATCTTTGGGGAGATTTTGATGATTTTCCTGCAGAGAAGAATATCTAGGAGTTCTGAACAATACTGAAATTAAGGTTAGGCTGTAGATTGATACTGTCTTTAAACTTGATGGTGGGCATGTCCCGAATTACTAGATGGTGATGGTACAGCAACTGGATTGCATTGGAATCTGTGAAAGAGAGAATCTTATGCCTAACTAGTTAGGGAAGAATTATAATTCAGGGTCAGGTCAAAGGCGGCTACTTTCTTGGGTTATAGTTTTGCCCTGTCTGATAGAAATAAAAATTCAATTTGATGAGGGCTATGATGGTTATATTTACCATATCTGCAAAAGTTTTCCCCTTAGAGCTATAAAACTTTCGATACTGCGGCTGTTTGTGTTAGATTCTCTAAATTTCATAAACTGATAACTGTTGGTTTAACACAATTGTTGATTCTCATTTTACTCCTGTGAAACCAGAGATAAATATGAGTTGGAACTGGACTTCAAGAGATTCTGGGAAGAGTTCCGTTCATCAAGCTCCGAAAAGGTTTTTACGAGACAATTCATGTCTCCTCCATGCTTTACTCATTTGTTCAGAACTTCTTTGCATTATATTCAGAACAGTAACAGTACCTCACATTGTCTTTTGAGCATCAGATGGGATTTTTTTTATTGACAAAAGGAACTACGAAAGCATGAGTTCTAACCATTCGTATGGTATGCAGGAGAAAGAAGCCGCCTTAAATCTCACCGTAGATTCCTTTTGTAGATTAGTGAAGCAGCATGCTAATGTAGATCAGTTAGTTACCATGTAAGCGCTCCTAACTCTTTTTTGTTTCTCATGTTATTCATTATCAACTTGGGTTTATTCTTTTCTTCAAGAAAATTAGCATGTCCACTAAATTTAAAAAAAAACTATTTGAGTCTTGACATAATCTATAGATTTTATGAGGTCTATATACATTTCTGAAACTTGTATTGTCTTCCCATGTTCTGGGGGGTGTTTTCTCTATCCCATATTCCATGCCTTGAGGTTGCATATGATAGTGACACCAATGTTGTGAATTTTAATTGAATTGCAGGTTAGTAGAAACACATATATTCTCTTTTGTTATTGGAAGAGCATTTGTGACAGATATTGAAAAGTTAAAGATCAGCAGCAAGACGAGGTCACTGGATGTGGGTAAAGTATTGAGGTTCTTTTCAGAAGTCACCAAGGTTTGGCTTTCTTTCTTAATACCTTGAATTGGAACTCATAGTGTTCCCTTTTATGTGCTAATTAGTGTTTTTGTTCATACAGGAGGGATTTAGTCCTGGTGCAAACCTTCTAACTGCTGTTGAAGTCCTAGTATCTGGGGTACCATTTTATTTTTTTATCTGGTTTCCAGTTTTACTTTCCCACGATGAACATATAAAGCTGAAATATGAATGTGATATTTGATGTCAAATTAGTCACCTTGAGGCTATGGAACACCTTCTAAGGGGCTGATTCTTTGATGGCGGATAATATTATATATATATATGCACACACTGTTGGTTCATGCACTTAAACTCTTCTGTGATTTCTTTGCAGCCCATTGACAAACAATCATTATTGGATTCTGGGATATTATGTTGTCTAATACATGTGCTCAATGCCCTTCTGGCATATGATGAAGCTAGCCAAGTTGAAAAAACTGCTGATTTTGAAGGAAATGCGGCAGCAGATAAAGATGTTGGATGTGATGTTCTCCAAGCTAGGCGACTTGAGGTTCTGTTCCCGTGATTTTTATATGAGCATATCGATGATTTTACCCCAAATAAACAAAAACCTTACTTTTCAACATTTCAGTAGTTTCAGTTCTTACATTCTCAAGCTGGATAACAACCACAAATAAGCTATGCCAATGCTATTTCAGTCTCCATTCTTGCAGGTAGAGGGTAGTATTGTCCATATCATGAAGGCATTGGCTAGCCATCCTTCTGCTGCTCAGAATTTGATTGAGGATGACTCACTTCAGTTGCTTTTCAATATGGTTGCCAATGGTTCTCTGAAGGTTTTCTCTCAGTATAAAGAAGGTCTAGTTCCTCTCCACAGCATACAGCTTCACAGACATGCAATGCAGGTGAGTTCTAGTGCCTTTGTAATGTCTAGTCACCCAGAAATGTAGCTGTGAAACAGAAAAAGCTACTAACTGATCTAGAGCTTGATGATTGAATAAGTGAGAATGTCTTGACACATGGTTTCATTTGTGTTTTGCTTATCTTCCAGATCCTTGGGCTTCTTCTTGTCAATGATAATGGGAGCACAGCCAAGTACATACGCAAACACTACCTGGTATGCCATTGCATTAACTGTGGAGCGTTTGCGGAAATCCTAACTGTATTATATCAATTTCTTGTGCGTTCTGCAATGCTGTTACCACAAATATAGATTATTTCTTTCTTCTTGTGTAGAACTTATTCATTGCTACCAAGATAAAAAAAACTTGGTTATCAAGAATGGGGCAAAAGCAAATAATAACTGTTTCCTATGTATAATTTCTTATCATTAATATATTGGTACGCAATGTGACTGCAATATGTTGGTGAAATTCTGCATGCCTCGAGGATTACATATGCTGCTTATGGTAATCTACAGGCCATTTGAAATTATTCACAAGCTTCAATATCAGGAAACTGTGAGATATTTACAGGTCGTTGCTTGTACATTTTGGATAGATGTCAGCAAGCTAGACTGCAAAAGATGTAATAGTCATGCCTAGAAGCTAATAGTGTTACACCAACATCTAAGTAAATTTTTTACCTCTGTTTGAAGTGCCAATTTTTTCAATTCTTTCAGGCATGAGAAAAGAGAATTCTCTTTATTGTGTACTTGATTATAAAGTTAGGTGCTAGATATATTCATTAATATAGCTGATCATTTTCTCTTTTTTTGGCATTATGATTTCTGTCTGCTTGTTCTGTATCAATCACTGGCAATCTTAGTGCCTATCCTGATGGGGTTCTGAGTTCTCTTGCAGATAAAGGTTCTTTTGATGGCTGTCAAAGATTTTGATCCGGATTGTGGTGACTCAGCCTACACAATGGGCATTGTGGATTTGTTACTTGAATGTGTGGAATTATCATACAGACCTGGTAAATTTTGGAACTAAAACTGTAGATAAGATTTCAAAATGTTTGCATGCTCGTATGAAAAATTTAGTTGGAGGATACATGTTGTCAGCAGTCACCTTTCATTTGTGCACATGTATACCTTCCTGATTATGGCTGCTAAATTGGTTCATTTTGACTTTGTAGAGTCTGGCGGTGTCAGGCTCAGGGAGGACATACGAAATGCACATGGTTACCATTTTCTTGTTCAGTTTGCTCTCGTTCTATCTTCCATGCCATCGAGTCAGGTTTCTGTGTCCAGTCATTCATCTCCGCGCTCAAATAGTGGTTCAGATGGCTCTGAAATGTTACCTGATGGAAAAAACACAAATTATAGGGGAAGCGATGACCTGGCCTCACCAAACTTCTCTCCTTCATTGTCAAGATTGCTTGATGTCCTTGTCACCCTGGCCCAGACTGGTCCAGCTGAGCCATCTGGAGGAAGGGCCTCGAGATCATCCCAGACTAAGATCAGTAGGCACAGCAGAAGCCGTACACCATCCATTGAAAGCTTATACGATGAAACTTGGGAACAGGGCAGTAGTAAAGTTAAAGACCTTGAAGCTGTCCTAATGTTGCAAGACATCTTTCTGAAGGCAGAGAACAAGGATCTTCAGGCAGAAGTGTTGAACAGAATGTTCAAGATATTCTCAAGCCATGTGGAAAACTACAGATTGTGTCAAGAATTAAGGACTGTTCCACTTCTTGTCCTCAACATGGCCGGTTTTCCTTCCTCGCTGCAAGAAATTATACTCAAGATCCTTGAATATGCTGTGACAGTTGTGAATTGTGTTCCGGAGCAAGAACTGCTGTCACTTTGTTGCTTACTGCAACAGCCGATCACTTCTGAGTTGAAGCACACGATACTTTCTTTCTTTGTAAAGCTTATATCCTTTGATCAACAATACAAGAAAGTTCTCCGTGAAGTTGGCGTTCTGGAGGTTTTACTAGATGATCTGAAACAGCACAAGCTTCTTATGGGTCCAGATCAGTATAGTGGAGTCCCTAATCAACTGGATCGGAAGCCTAGTTCTGCTAGCTTCAAAAAGCATTTAGATAGTAAAGATGCCATTATCACATCACCCAAGTTAATGGAGTCTGGTTCAGGAAAGTTGGCTGTATTTGAAGTTGAAAGCACTATTGCTGTTGGCTGGGATTGTATGATCTCTTTGTTAAAGAAAGCTGAGGCTAATCAAGCAGCATTTCGTTCTGCCAATGGTGTAACCATTATTCTCCCTTTCTTAGTCTCTGATGCCCATCGAACAGGTGTTTTGAGGGTCTTGTCATGTTTAATCGGTGAAGACACTAAACAGGTAAATCTACCTTGGAAATGCTTATCTTGATTACCCTTATTGCACATCTCTTTTCTTCATGTATCTTTAAATCAATTACATCAGGATTGCTTATCTCGCGAATGCATCCAATCTTAGATTATCTTGCATACGGTGCAGACATCTTAGTTTATGTAATGATTAACTTGCACCTCACTGTTGAACCAGGTGCATCATGAAGAATTAGGAGTAGTTGTTGATCTATTGAAGAGTGGAATGGTCACTGGTATTTCTGGTCATCAGTACAAGCTTCATGATGATGCCAAATGTGATACAATGGGCGCTCTGTGGCGTATTCTTGGAGTTAATGGCTCTGCTCAAAGAGTATTCGGTGAAGCCACTGGTTTCTCTCTTCTATTGACGACCCTTCATACTTTTCGAGGGGAAGGAGGAGAGCACACAGATGAGTCTTATTTGATGGCTTACATCAAATTGTTTAAATATTTATTACGCCTCATGACAGCAGCAGTCTACGAAAATGCTGTTAATAGGATGAAACTTCATGGTGTTATAACATCTCAGACATTCTATGATCTTCTGACGGAGTCTGGTTTGCTCTGTGTTGAGTGGGAAAGACAAGTCGTTCAGCTGTTGTTAGAACTAGCACTTGAAATTGTGCTTCCACCATTTTTGACATCAGATTCTATGGCCTCAGTGGATATAACAGAAAATGAAAGAGCAAGTTTAGTTGTAACCAACCCGTCCAGTCAGTTCAATCCTGACAAGGAAAGAATCTACAATGCAGGTGCTGTTAGAGTTCTGATCCGTTCATTGTTGCTTTTTACTCCAAAGATGCAGTTAGAATTTTTGAATCTTCTAGAAAAGCTTGCACGGGCTAGTCCCTTCAATCAGGAAAACCTCACATCTGTTGGTAAGAACCTGTCTTAAGTCTCTTCTTGCTTTTATTTTTGGTTCAGTCAAATATCCAGACCTTAATCAATGTGTGTTATCCTCTTATTCTGTGTTTTCTCTTCTCCGAATCATAATGGATCAGGTTGTGTGGAACTTCTGTTGGAGATAATCCACCCCTTTCTTCCGGGTTCATCTCCATTTCTTTCCTATGCTTTGAAGACTGTTGAAGTTCTTGGAGCATACAGGTGCCCAGTGTTCTTTAGAATCAGTAAATAGGCTAAGAAGTATTTCTAAGTTATCTACTTTTATTTCCTTGCTGCTTTGACTCATCAAATGGTTTTATTTTGGTGTAGATTGTCTCCATCCGAGCTCCGAATGCTGTTTAGATATGTTTTGCAAATGAGGATTATGAATTCAGGCCATGCCATAGTTGATACGATGGAAAAACTAATTCTCATGGAAGACACAGCCTTGGAACATGTTTCCTTGGCGCCTTTTGTAGAGATGGACATGAGCAAAACTGGGCATGCATCTGTTCAGGTGTCTCTTGGAGAAAGATCTTGGCCTCCTGCTGCGGGCTATTCATTTGTTTGTTGGTTCCAGTTTCGTAATTTCTTGACAATCCAAGGGAAAGATACAGAAGCATCCAAAGTTGGTGGTTCATCAAAGATGCGGATGTCAAGTGGACAGCAGCACGAGCAAAATATTTTCAGGATATTTTCCGTTGGTGCCCTACAAAATGAAAATCCATTCTATGCAGAACTGTACTTTCAGGAGGATGGTTCTCTGACCCTTGCCACTAGCAATTCAAATTCTTTATCATTTTCTGGGTTAGAGATAGAGGAAGGCAGGTGGCATCACCTTGCTGTTGTTCACAGTAAGCCAAATGCTCTCGCTGGACTCTTTCAGGCTAGTGTTGCATATGTCTATCTTGATGGAAAATTACGGCACACTGGTAAGCTGGGATATTCTCCTTCACCGGTTGGAAAAGCTTTGCAAGTAACTGTTGGAACTCCAGCTACTTGTGCCAGAGTTAGTGATTTGACATGGAAAGTACGGTCATGTTATCTTTTTGAGGAGGTGCTCACATCAGGTTGCATTTGTTTCATGTACATTCTTGGTAGAGGGTACAAAGGTCTTTTCCAGGACTCGGATCTCTTACGCTTTGTGCCCAATCAGGCTTGTGGCGGGGGTAGCATGGCGATCCTGGATTCGTTAGATACAGACATGGCTTCATTGTCTAGCACCCAAAAGCACGATGGAAGTAACAAACAAGGGGATTCTAAGGCAGATGGTAGTGGGATTGTTTGGGATCTGGAGAGGCTGGGAAATCTTTCCTTTCAGTTACCTGGAAAGAAACTCATTTTTGCTTTTGATGGGACATGTTCAGAGTTTATGCGCGCATCTGGATACTTTTCCCTCCTCAATCTGGTTGATCCAATGTCAGCTGCTGCTTCTCCAATTGGAGGTATACAACGATCTTCCATTTTGTACCTTCTTCATCCAATATGATTATTTTTTCCAGCTTTTTATTTTAACTCCAAGTTCTTAATGGTTTTAGGGATACCGCGTTTCGGGCGTCTGGTTGGAAATGTGTATATCTGCAGACAAAATGTGATTGGTGATATTATTCGTCCAGTGGGGGGAATGGCTGTTGTACTTGCTCTTGTTGAGGCTGCCGAGTCCAGAGATATGCTACATATGGCTCTTACATTGCTTTCCTGCGCACTACATCAGAATCCTCAGAATGTGAAGGATATGCAAACATACAGGGGTTATCATTTACTCGCTTTGTTTTTACGTCCCAAAATGGCGTTATTTGACATGCAATCTTTGGAGATTTTTTTCCAAGTTGCTGCATGTGAAGCTTCATTTTCAGAGCCTAAGAAGTTGGAACGTGGTCAGAGTGTTACTGTGTCACCTACAGAGACTATACTTGAAAACAGCTATGAGGATCTCAATCTCTCAAAGTTCCGTTATGAAACTTCGTCAGTTGGGTCTCACGGAGATATGGATGACTTTTCTGTACCAAAAGATTCTTTTAGTCACATCTCTGAGCTGGAAACAGGAGATATTTCAGTTGAAACTTCAAACTGCATTGTCTTGTCTAACGCAGACATGGTCGAACATGTCCTCCTGGACTGGACTCTCTGGGTGACAGCTCCTGTTTCTATCCAGATTGCTTTACTTGGTTTTCTGGAGAATCTGGTGTCAATGCATTGGTATAGGAATCACAATCTTACAGTTCTTCGCAGAATCAATCTGGTGGAGCATTTATTAGTGACCCTTCAGCGGGGTGATGTGGAAGTTGCTGTCCTAGAAAAACTAGTTGTTCTGCTTGGATGCATCCTAGAAGATGGCTTCCTGACTTCTGAGCTTGAAAATGTGGTTAGGTTTTTGATAATGACATTTGATCCTCCTGAAAGAAAGTCCCGAAACTCATTAATGCGGGAGTCAATGGGGAAGCATGTAATTGTGAGAAATATGCTCTTGGAAATGTTAATTGATCTCCAAGTAACGATAAAAGCAGAAGAATTTCTGGAGCAGTGGCATAAGATAGTCTCGTCAAAATTAATAACGTACTTCCTTGATGAAGCTGTGCATCCTACGAGTATGAGATGGATCATGACCCTTCTTGGTGTTTGTCTTGCTTCTTCTCCGAACTTCTCCCTTAAATTTCGGACTAGTGGAGGTTATCAGGGGCTGATGCGGGTACTTCAAAGTTTTTATGATTCCCCTGACATATATTACATCTTGTTCTGCTTGATATTTGGGAAGCCTGTTTATCCAAGACTACCGGAGGTCCGGATGTTAGACTTTCATGCGCTCGTACCAAGTGATGGGAGCCATGTGGAGTTGAAGTTTTTGGATCTGTTGGATTCAGTGGTTGCGATGGCTAAATCCACTTTTGACAGGTTGATCATGCAGTCAGTGCTTGCCCACCAGTCTGGAAATCTTTCTCAGGTTAGTGCCAGCCTTGTTGCAGAACTTGTTGAGGGCAATGCAGATATGACTGGGGAGCTTCAAGGGGAGGCTCTGATGCACAAAACATATGCAGCAAGATTGATGGGTGGTGAAGCATCAGCTCCTGCTGCTGCGACATCTGTCCTTCGGTTCATGGTTGACCTTGCGAAGATGTGCCCTCAATTTTCTGCTGTTTGCAGACGAGCAGATTTTCTTGAAAATTGTGTTGATCTTTACTTTTCCTGTGTCAGGTTTGCATCACATACCTGCTGCATATGAATTATAACTTTTTTGTTTCTCGTTTTAAGGTACTTAGAACACCTAAAATAGAGTCATGGCATAAGTTGAATGAAGGCAGTATTTTGTTTTACCTGCCATCTTTTGCTCAATATAGAGGGTCTGAAATAAGCAGGTTACCTGTATGACTTTGGATGTAACGTGAATAAGAAGATTATTTGCGTAGTCTGACCAAAAGGTTGTTTTTGTGTTGTAGGGCTGCATATGCTGTGAAAATGACAAAACAGCTTTCTGTAAAGGCGGAAGAGAAGAATATAACAGACGGTGATGATAGCAGCTCACAAGGCGCATTCTCTAGCTTGCCCCATGAGCAGGACCAATCCAGCAAAACCTCCATCAGCGTTGGAAGCTTCCCTCAAGGGCAGGTCAGTCTGAGTTCTGAAGATATGATTTTACCTTCAGATGATGTGGCTCATAATAAGGTGGAAAATGTTGTTTCAACACAGCCACAGGATTCAAATAAATCTTTTCAAGGTGTTCAAGGTGTCCAGAAACAAGATGGTAACACTGTTGGTCATGTATCAGCCTCCGTCGAAATAGATTTGCGGGATCTTAAAGATAATCCATGTCAAGATCAGCCAATAGATTCTCAGAGTTCTGCATCGTTCCCTATGACAGAGTCTCCCCTTTTATCTGAAAAATCAAATTCCAAAATCCCACTCACTCAATCACCATCTCCGGTTGTTGCTCTGGCATCCTGGTTGGGCTCTAACTATATCGAATCCAAAAGTTCTACAACTGGCACCCCCTCTCTGGAATCTTCTGTCTCTATTAGTGAGTTTGACGCATTAGACCAAAAGTCTGGGTCCCAAGGTTCATCTTCCGCCAATACATTATTTTCAGTTAGCCCAAAACTTCTCCTTGAAGTCGATGATTCTGGCTATGGTGGGGGCCCTTGTTCAGCTGGAGCAAGTGCTGTGTTAGATTTTATGGCAGAGGTACTTGCTGAATTAATGACTGAACAGATTAAAGCAGTACAGGTTTTGGAGAGCATTTTGGAGATGGTACCTTTATATGTCGATGCTGAATGTGTACTGGTTTTCCAAGGTTTATGCCTTAGTAGAGTGATGAACTTTCTTGAAAGGCGTCTCTTGCGTGATGATGAGGAAAACGAGAAAAAACTGGACAAGAGCAAATGGTCAGCAAACTTGGATGCGTTTTGTTGGATGATCGTGGATCGTGTATATATGGGTGCTTTTCCTCAATCCACAGGTGTCCTCAGAGCTCTTGAGTTCTTGTTATCAATGCTGCAGTTGGCTAACAAAGATGGTCGGGTTGAAGAAGTCACTCCTTCAGGAAAGGGTCTGTTATCTATTGGAAGGGCAACCAGGCAACTGGATGCTTATGTGCACTCAATCCTGAAGAATACAAATAGAGCGATCCTATATTGTTTCCTTCCATCGTTCTTGATCATCATTGGAGAAGAAGATCTACTATCACGACTGGGCTTACTTGTTGAATCTAAGAAGCGGCCATCTTTGAATCCAAATGTTGATGAATCTGGTATTGATATCTCAACAGTTTTGCAACTGTTGGTTGGGAACAGGAGGATTATATTCTGCCCTAGTAATCTTGATACTGATTTGAATTGCTCCCTTTGTGTGAACTTAATCTCTCTACTCAGTGACCAGAGAAAGAATGTGCAAACCATGGCACTCGATATTGTCAAATATTTGCTGGTTCACCGAAGATCTGCTCTTGAGGACTTGCTTGTCTCTAAACCAAACCAAGGACAAAATCTTGATGTACTACATGGGGGTTTTGATAAACTGTTAACTGGAAATCTGCCTGATTTCTTCAAGTGGCTTGAGAGCTCTGAACAGAATATAAATAAGGTACTGGAGCAATGCGCTGCCATCATGTGGGTACAGTACATAGCTGGCTCAGCAAAATTTCCTGGTGTCAGGATAAAAGGCATGGAGGTTCGGCGTAAGAGGGAGATGGGAAGAAAATCACGAGATGGGTCAAAGCTAGACCTAAAGCACTGGGAGCAGATAAATGAAAGAAGATATGCGCTAGAAGTAGTACGTGATGCAATGTCCACTGAGCTTAGAGTTGTCCGGCAAAACAAATATGGTTGGATACTTCATGCTGAGAGTGAATGGCAAACTCATCTCCAACAACTTGTTCATGAGCGTGGAATATTTCCATTGCGTAAATCCCAAGGATCTGATGATCCTGAATGGCAGCTCTGTCCTATTGAAGGTCCATACAGAATGCGCAAAAAGCTTGAGCGGTGCAAGCTGAAAATTGATAGTATTCAGAATGTTCTAGATGGTAAGTTGGAGCTTGGAGAAGTTGAGCTACCTAAGGCAAAAACTGAGGATGGTGTAATCATTTCGGATACAGATTCTGAACCAGCTTTCCAGCTAACTGAACTTTATGATGAGTCCTTTGTGAAAGAATCTGATGATTTTAAGGACGTAGCTTCAGCTAGCAATGGATGGAATGATGATAGGGCTAGTAGCACAAATGAAGCCAGTCTTCATTCCGCTCTTGATTTTGGTGGCAAGTCAAGTGTAGCATCTGCTCCAATAACAGACAACACAAATGCAAAATCGGAGACTGGCTCTCCGAGGCAGTCATCTTCTGGAAAAATGGATGAAACCAGAGGTTTGGAGGAGAAATCTGATAAGGAACTGAATGATGATGGTGAATATTTGATCAGACCGTATTTGGAGCATCTTGAAAAGATTAGATTCAGATACAACTGTGAGAGAGTCATTGGTCTTGACAAGCATGACGGGATATTCTTAATTGGAGAACTCTGCTTGTATGTTATAGAGAACTTTTACATTGATGATACAGGGTGCATTTGTGAGAAAGAATGTGAAGATGAATTATCTGTTATCGATCAGGCTTTGGGTGTGAAGAAAGATGTCACTGGAAGCATGGATTTCCAGTCCAAGTCTAGCACTTCTTGGACTACACCAGTGAAAACAGGAGCTGTAGGCGGGAGAGCATGGGCTTACTGTGGTGGTGCATGGGGAAAGGAAAAAGTACGAACAAAGGGGAACTTGCCACATCCTTGGCGTATGTGGAAGTTGAATAGCGTTCATGAGATTTTAAAGCGTGATTACCAGCTACGTCCTGTTGCTATCGAGATATTTAGCATGGATGGATGTAATGATCTCCTTGTGTTTCACAAGAAAGAGAGGGAAGAAGTCTTCAAAAATCTGCTTGCCATGAATCTTCCAAGGAATAGCATGTATGGAGTCATCTACCCTTCTCTCCTCGTTTCTTCTTTTTCTTCTACGTTTGATTGCTTTGAGCATAATGCATATGGTTCTTCCTTCTATCCGATAATCTACGCTCATATGAATTTAGTTTAATGAACTTCTATTCTTCACTACCTTGCTTGTTAGTGAACCATGAACGTGTTTCATTATTAGCTTAATCTTGAATAAGGCAAATCTCTACTTTTTACTTCATCTTTTCCTGTTTGCGTTGTCACATTATACCACATGATTGCATTGCCTATTTATTTTCATGAACTTCAGGCTATATGTACCAGCTTTGTGTATTGTATTTCAATTTTTCCATGAGTTGCATGTCCATGTTTTGGTAATTTATTGATTTTGAAGTACTAGTAGTCTTTGCTATTTCACCAATCACTTTAATTATAGTAGTCAAGCTTCAGGTATCCAGGAGACTGTAAATTCAGGAAATTATGAAATTTAAATTTTGAAATGATTGATTCACTTAGCCTGCAATCAGACCATATTCGTTTTGAAAGTCTTCCAATGTCATGTTTTGTGTTGGTCCATATCATTCGAAATTCTTCAATGCAGGGTATTTTTGTAAGTTGATGTTAGATACTGTTCATTAAGCTGTTTGATTTTGAGTTTCTGGTGTAAGCATGTTCAATTGATATCTGCATTCCTTTACCCTATTCATGCCCTGGAGATTTTGCAGCATTTATGAGATTCATCTTTCCTGACATCTGAAAGTGTTGTTTATTCTGTTATCTTTTCAGGCTCGATACGACCATTTCAGGATCAGTAAAACAGGAAAGTAACGAGGGTAGCCGTCTTTTCAGATTAATGGCAAAATCTTTTTCAAAAAGATGGCAAAATGGGGAGATTAGCAATTTCCAGTATCTAATGCATCTCAACACCTTAGCAGGGCGGGGATATAGTGATCTCACTCAGTATCCGGTGTTTCCTTGGATTCTCGCTGATTATGAGAGTGAAAATCTTGACTTGTCAGATCCAAAAATATTCCGCAAGCTTGACAAACCAATGGGTTGCCAGACACCTGATGGGGAAGAAGAATTTAGGAAGCGGTATTCTATTTCCTTTCAAAATCAATGGATTGCCAGATCCAAAATCTGGACTTGTCACAATTGGATATGAACATTATTTTTTACGCTCTTCTATTTCCATTTTCAGATACGAGAGCTGGGATGATCCAGAGGTCCCGAAATTTCATTATGGGTCTCATTATTCGAGTGCTGGCATTGTTCTGTTTTATCTTATTCGCCTCCCACCATTCAGTGTTGAGAATCAGAAGCTACAAGGGGGTCAGTTTGATCATGCTGATCGGCTCTTCAATAGTATCAGAGATACTTGGCTAAGTGCAGCTGGAAAAGGGAACACATCTGATGTGAAAGAACTAATTCCTGAATTCTTCTACATGCCTGAGTTTTTGGAAAATAGATTCAACCTTGATTTGGGTGAAAAACAGTCAGGAGAGAAGGTTTGTGTTGGTTAAAACCTTGAACGATGCTTGAATTTGTCTCTTTTTTTTTTAATCCTTTTTCTCTTACACAGACTGTGGTTATGGACAAGTTCTCTTTTTTGGTTCAGGTTGGTGATGTTATGTTACCCCCATGGGCTAGGGGCAGTGTCCGTGAATTCATCCGCAAGCATAGAGAAGCTTTGGAGTCTGACTATGTTTCAGTGAATCTGCATCATTGGATAGATCTCATCTTTGGGTACAAACAGAGAGGAAAGGTACGTGGGTACAATACTTTCCTTTTGCTAGTCAAGGAGATAAAACTGATTTTGAACTTTGAAAGGTTAGAAAATTTCCAGTATCGTGCTTTAGATTATGATCCATTGTTCTCATTATTAATATATCCTGTTTAGAAGCCCCTCATTTTGTTGCTAATGCCTTCTACTCTCATGATGAGCTTTTCTTCCTCAGGAGTTGGTTTATAGGAGATTCTCGTACAGAATTTGCTGCCTAATATGCTTAATCTTGTGGTAGTCAGTCATGTTATAGAGAGTTGATAATTTCTCAATTCAATTTTTCGATTTGCCCTATTGAACAGGCTGCAGAAGAGGCTGTCAATGTTTTCTATCACTATACCTACGAGGGCAACGTAGATATAGATGCAGTTACAGATCCCGCAATGAAAGCATCGATACTTGCTCAGATTAATCATTTTGGACAAACCCCTAAGCAACTGTTCCAGAAACCTCATGTCAAAAGAAGAACAGACAGAAAACTTCCTCTTCACCCTCTGAAGCATTCGATACATCTTGTTCCCCACGAGATACGTAAATGCTCATCTTCTATAAGCCAAATCGTTACTTTCCACGACAAGGTACTTGTTGCCGGAGCAAACTGTTTCCTGAAACCCAGAGGCTATACCAAATACATAACATGGGGTTTCCCGGACAGGAGCCTGAGATTTATGAGCTATGATCAGGACAGACTGCTCTCCACCCATGAAAACCTCCACGAAGGCAACCAGATCCAGTGTGCTGGTGTTAGCCACGACGGGCGGATTTTGGTCACTGGAGCAGAAGATGGGTTAGTGTCTGTCTGGAGAGTCAGCAAGGATGGTCCACGTGGTTCTCGGCGTTTACGGTTAGAGAAAGCTTTGTGTGCCCACACAGCCAAAGTCACTTGTCTCCGTGTAAGCCAGCCTTACATGATGATTGTTAGTGGATCAGATGACTGTACTGTTATTATATGGGATCTCAGTTCCTTGAGTTTCGTGAGGCAACTTCCCGAGTTCCCAGTTCCCGTTTCAGCCACCTACGTAAATGACCTTACCGGGGAAATAGTAACAGCTGCTGGAACTGTTCTTGCAGTTTGGAGCATCAATGGGGATTGCCTCGCTGTGGTTAACACTTCTCAGTTACCATCTGATTCCATTGTGTCAGTGACGGGTTCAACATTTTCGGATTGGCTGGAAACAAGCTGGTATGTGACTGGTCATCAGAGTGGGGCACTGAAAGTGTGGCACATGATACATTGTACTGATCCGGTGAGTGCTGAGAGCAGAACAAGTAGCAACAGAACAGGAGGGCTGAATTTGGGTGATCAGGTTCCAGAGTACAGGTTGCTTCTCCACAAGGTTTTGAAATTCCACAAGCAACCCGTTACTTCTCTTCATCTCACTAGCGACCTGAAGCAGTTACTGAGCGGCGATTCCACTGGGCATCTGCTTTCGTGGACACTGCCTGACGAGACATTAAGGAATTCTCTGAAAAAGGGGTCGTAGATTTCAATCAAAAGCAGCACTTACTTGATGCTTTCACTGGAAAGGACAAAGCCGAAAAGGGCTGGAGAGAGAGAGAGAGAACAGGACAACATAGAAGGCTGATCAAGTGAGAGTGTGGGAACCTATGACAAAGTCTTCGCCTTTACTTCATCTTGGGAGTCAGAGCGGGGAAAATGGCAAAGAGAGGCTTTGTCTTGCGTGTTCTGGTAAAGGTTTGTGTTGAGAATGGAAGTGTTGGTGTTTTCTGTTGCTTCATAGTGTAAATAGATGGGAGTGTTTGTGTGTACAGCCGAAATGTAATGTCTTTTTTGGCGGCCAAGTCCTCTCTTCTTTCTCTGTTGTTGTTCTCTTTCTTTAGTGTATCAGATGCATTCATCTATTTTTCTTCTGTCTTTGTTCAATTACAATAGCTTGTGACCATATGTATACCCATCTTCTGTTTCGACATGAGTGTTCATCTTCCCTCTTCTTCAATGCTTCGAATGCGGAAGAAAATGCTTTTTTTTTTTTGTAGATTCAAGCAAGAAGTTGGATTCCAAGATTTTTCCGAACCAGAAACTCGAGCCTTTTGCCTAGATGCAAAGCGTGCGTCCTCACAGACGCCGAGAAATCCCAAGAATCAGTCCGAGACGTCTTGTCTCTGAAATCAGACAAGTTTAACAGTCTTGTCCCACCGTCTGGTGGCCAAGAAGATCTCTTGCTCGTAGAGCCGTTGGATCAAGGTCAGGGTCTTGAGAGCCACGGTCCAGTCTTCGAGAGAGCATGTTCATACACGCGCTGATATAGTGACGTGCACACGATGTCAGAACGAGCAGTGCGGAGAGTATACGTCCTAACGCGAACAAACCGAGGTTTATAGCAGCGATCCCACAAACGCTGCGTTTGCGTTTGAAACGACGGTCGATTCTCTAAAGATTCGCTCCGGTTCGCGTGGTTTCACGCGCCGTTTCCAGCCAATAACATGGGGTAGTATCGTTATACGTCCGGGAAGTAAAGGGTACAATCGTCAATTCAACTTGCCATCTGATTGCAGAAGTTAAAATAAAATCCTAGTTCTCCCTGTTCTTGCTCGCATTGTGATCGCGAGACAATCTCAATCGAAGGGAGAAGAAGGGAACCGAGGTATGGAAATTCGTTGTTGAGAAAATTTGGAAAAAAATTTCCACCTTCGAGTTTTTCTTCTTTCGATTTGTAATCCCGAAAAAGTTCGGCAGTGATCGAATCGCAGGTTCCGAAAACTGCGTTGGGTTCAATTCACGGACTTTTCCATGGTGGATTGATTTTTTTTCCCTGGCGTTTTCATGTGTAGTTAACCGTTTTCTTGATAGAGATGGCTGGGAGAGCTCAGATCCCTACTAAAAACTCTGCCCTAATAGCCATGATCGCCGATGAGGTAACGACGTTTGCAGAGACATCATCATCTCTTTATATCTTTTTTGGATTTCTTTTATGGTGTGTGTTATGGTATTACTTCCTTAGACTCTATGAATTCCATCGGGATACTCTGGTTAATTTGACCTTCCGATAAGACGTGGTTTTCTGTGTTAATTTATTGTCGCTTTGATTTGGAAATCGTATTTACTATCTGCTAGTTTATTGGATTCCGAATGCATCAATTTTAGCTTGTTCTTTCAGATTTGTAAGTTCCCTTGAACACCGTATGCTAAATTTAAATGTAGAACCAGTTATATCTGTTGGACGAAGAAAAAGTTTCGTGTTTTACTTGCTCGCGAATCCAATTCTTTGTTATCTTCTTCACTGGAATAGGATTTGCTACAGCCATAATGTTCTATTTCCGGCCCTTGGTAGTAGCAATGACTTACTTTGTCTTACATATCTGAGTATAGGACACTGTAGTTGGATTTTTGATGGCTGGAGTTGGTAATGTTGACCTACGGAGGAAGACGAATTATCTCATCGTGGATTCAAGTATTCTTCTAAACTCGCTTTTGATCTTACTCTCTTCAGAAGAGATTAGCCATTGTTTTCCTTTTTAAATTTGGATGCCCTTTTGATCACTAGACTTGTTTGTTACCCTTTTGATATTCTGTTATCAACCAAATTGGACTCGAGAATAAAGAGTCCTGTTGTTTGAACCCCGTTATCAAATTACACCGTCGTGGTCTTGTTGTTATGGAGATAACTTCTTGACCTTCATCGGGTTTCATTAGTCGTTATGTCCTACATGAATGTCTTTTTCTTTATGCACTTGTGTCTGGTTCAGTTATTGTCTTCTCCTACACGGCTATATCTTAGGGTTTTTTTTATATTCTGATTTCTTGTTTTCTATTCCTCTTTTGTTTGCTTGCCTTCTAGAGACAACTGTGAGACAAATTGAGGATGCCTTTAAGGAGTTCACTACCAGGGAAGACATTGCTATCGTCCTCATCAGCCAATACGTAAGTGCTTTCTTGCAATTTTACTTTCTGGTTCATGTGCTGTGTCCATGCTGTATGTCACCTTAGCTTAAAATAACTAGCCAGAATTTTAGCTCTTTTGCACACTTCTACCCATTTTATCTTTAAGCGAAAGGGCCGTTTTGATTTCTTGTTCTTAGCATTTAGTGGATTGGATCCAAGTACCACAAGTGATTTTTGTATGGCCTCTATGATTCATAATGCATGGTTTTGGTCTGTTACAAGCATCCAAATATATTAACTTGTTTCTGGACTTTTTTCACATCTGTTTCTTTGAACAATAATCCAGACATTGTAAGCTTGCATTTAACTATTGCATTCTTGGATTCCCACTAAAACCTGTTCTGCTGTTTATTTAGGTTGCCAACATGATAAGGTTCTTGGTTGATAGCTACAACAAACCAGTTCCAGCAATCTTGGAGATTCCTTCCAAGGACCATCCATATGATCCTGCCCATGACTCTGTTCTCTCCCGTGTCAAGTACCTATTCTCTGCTGAATCCGTAGCTTCTGATAGGCGTTGAGCTTATATGCAGTTCTCTCTGCTCACCCGAGTGTACCCTGAATTCTCTCTCACCTGAACCTGCTCTATTACCATTTGTTTCTTGGCATTCTTCCATTTCCTTCACAACCCACCAAAGTTTTCAATAATGTGAAACTCTGTTTATTTGTTGGTAAATGGATGGCAACACCGTTTTGTTTTTTTTGCAAAAGATGACAAAACATAGTTGTGTATTCAACAGAGAGCAGACTTCAATGATTTGGTGAAGGCTTCAAGCGCATTGAGTCCTTGCTCAGGGGATTCAGCCTCACCCAGAATCTTAACCATTGCGCTTCCGACAATGACACCATCGGCACCCCATTCAGCTACCTGAAAGAAACTCCATGACCAAAGTTGATTTAACACATTCTCACCAACAAGACAGATCAATAAAAGAAACCGACTTAACAGAACTGACCTGTTTCACATGCTGAGGTTTTGATATGCCAAACCCGACAGCCACTGGTTTTGTTGTGGCCTCTTTGATTTGTCGTAGAAGTGACTGAACTTGTTCATTTACAGATTCTCTGGTGCCAGTTACACCTACTGAACTTACCTGTGAAAACAAGTCAGAGCTTGTCATCCATGGCAATAAGCTTTAAGCATTCATAGATTTCTTTGCAGCAAATATCTTCTAACTCGCGCCTAAAGTTCACATGATTTACTAATCTAAGAAACTCCAGAATGTGATCTTACAAGATAGACAAATCCTTCAGATGCTTCAACAATGGCTTTCATTCGCTCTGTTGGGGTTGTGGGTGTCGTGAGCAGTACCTTTGAGACAACAGAGTAAGATGTTACACGAAAAACAATTTATAACATGGATTGCAACAGAAGATGTTCATGATATCTCCTCCGTTTGTTAATGGCCAACAACTACTCACTAGTTCAATATGATGCTTCTGAGCTTCCTTCCGCAGCAACTCGGTCTCCTCGAGTGGAACATCCGGTACAAGGAGGCCTGTAGACGAGTAGAATACGCATTGAGCAGAGTCTTATTGAATAAACTTGTTACTGTAGGTCTTCCAGAGAACAAATCCATGAGATAAATTCGATAGCATCACTCACCATGTACTCCAGCATCCTTTATAGTAGCCATATAGTTCTCAATCCCACGCCTCAGAATTGGGTTGTAATATGTAAACAGGGCAATAGGGCAAGATAACTGAGGAACAACCTGAAAACATGGAAAGCGAATTTTCTTTAACAAGATCAAACGCAGAAATGCACAAAGCAGATAGATGGCAAAGACGTGAACAGACAAAGAGTAATCTATCTTTGTCCTAAAACAGGTTCAAGTCAAGCTGAAGATGATGTTTCACTGAATTGTAGGAACACATATTAAGCAGCATTTACAATTTGAACCCAAGAGATAACAATATTCATGAAACATTCACCTTCTTCAACATAGCAATGATCGAGTTGAAGTTGGTCCCCTTGGCCAATGACCGTTTAGCAGCAGCCTAAAGAAGAAGAAATATAGATTAAGGAAAGACAAGACACACTTAACCAAAGCAAGGGAAAGACAAAGCTGTTGACCTGACCTGGATAGCCGGACCATCTGCTAGTGGATCAGAGTAGGGCACACCCAACTCAATTATGTCTGACCCGCAAGAGTCGAGCACTTTAAGTGCTTCCGCCGTCGTAGAAAGATCTGGATCACCGGCTGTGATATACGGAATAAGAGCCACCTGAATAGAATCGCAATACACGGTGCGAGAAAGTATGTGACTCAGCGACTATGGAATTACCATCCGGATTTCCCCAATCTAACTAGCAACTACCAATCACTAGGAGGAGGGGAGACCATGGATGTGCAGAAGAAACCAAAACACAAGAAAGACCAAACCCACTTCACAGGATCTCTGCAAACACAGAGACATTCGTCTCGTGAAAATTTTGCATTGGTAAAAGAAAAGGTGCTTACTTTGCCCTCTTTCTTCAACCTGGCGAAAGTCTCTGCCAGACCCAGAACTGCATGAGAGCTCTCAAGAAAAGCCATTGGAGTCCGATCTTTAGAAGTGCGGGCCAGGAAAAATCCGACGAACTACGTTTCTCTGGATTTTCGAAAACGGAAGAAGCTGATCTTTCCTTCGATGCCAACATTTTTTGAATATATATATATTTTTTAAAATAATTACTGTAAAATATGAGAAAAGCCCATTTACATTAGATAAAGCCCACTTGGGGTAAATGGGAAAAAAAAAGGAGGGAAGGGCAAAAATGAAAATTGTGCAAAAAGTAAGCCCTTTTTCACCGGAAGACGAATTTTGAGTAAGAGCATAAAGTCGTTCCTTTTCGTTTTCGTTTTCTCGTCTCTGTATCTTCGACCTCATTTGCTAACAACGAAACCACCCATAGGAAAAAAAACTTTTTTTCGGCATGTATATGCTGCTTGAGACCCCTGACTCGCTCTCTTGACTCGCCCCTACTCACTCGAGAAGGAAGAATTAACTCGCCATGGCCAGTGGTAACCCCCACGGAGCGCCTTCCGACCAACCTCCTTCAGACGATTTCTTCGAGCAAATTCTCGGCCTTCCCAACTTCGCCGCTCCTTCCGCCGCTGGTCTTCCCGGAGCCAACATCGGCCTCGACGGTCCACCGCCTCCGATGATGCTGCAGCTCGGCTCCGGTGACAAAGCTTCTCACATGGCCGCCCTCGGGGGAGGTGGCGCCGGTGGGTTTCACGGTCAGATGTTCCCGTTGGGTTTGAGCCTGGACCAAGGGAAGGGACCTGGGTTTCTTAAGCATGACGAACCTCACGGAAGCGGGAGACGTTTCCCTGACGAGATTGTTGATAATCGATGCCCCTCCATGAAACCTGTAAGTTGGGGTTTTCCGTTTGGGCTGTCGAGAAGTGGCGATTCAGAAGTTTTAGGGTTTAGAAAGATAACAGTTTGTTTGGCTAGAACATAAACATATTCGAACTCTCAACACGAAAGTTTGTTGGCAAATTGCTTCGTTTAAAGCGATTGTCAGAGAAATGTGTGGTTTAGGCTGTGGGATTCAGACGTCTGAAATCCAACATATTTTGGTTTATTGAAGCAACGCAAGTTGAAAAGATTCGTCTTTAATGGCTCTGTTTGCTTGTAAGCAAGTTCAAATTATCTCATGTGACTTGACTTCTTGGCTATTTGCCTGAATATATTAATATCTCAGGGCTATGGGAATCCAGAGAAGAAAGATCTAAACTTGTTTTGGGAAATTGCAAAATTTAAGTTGTCAAAGTTGTTACATCATTGTTTTAAGATGCATGATCGTAAGTTCTTAGCTTCTGAGCTGTGGAGCTTGTGAAGAAAACAAGACAAGCGCTGATTAAGTACAAGCCAAGAGCTATGCTTGTTGATCTTGTTATCTGAACTGTTTAAATGAGATAAGGCCTTAAGGTTGCTTAGGTTTCTGTTCCACCGTTTAAAGTTTGGCAAGCTCACGGTTTTTTTTTCCCTCCTGTGTATTGGAAGGTTTTCCACGGGCAGCCAATGCCACAACCAGCGCTAACAGCACCGCATCCACCATCTGCAATTCGCCCTAGAGTGCGGGCTAGACGAGGTCAAGCCACCGATCCACATAGCATTGCTGAGAGGGTTAGTTTGATGCAATGTTTATAGATGTATCTGACAATTCCATACTGTGGTTGTGTCTTTGTTAATAATTAGGCTAGATCTACAATTTGTGCTTCTATGGGCAGATTCCCTGGTTATCGTAGGCATTTTATGGCATCATAATGTAGAGCGATATTTATAGGTGTTAGTTTATTAGTCAGGAGGTTTACTGGTACTGTAATCATCAATTCTGGAGCAGTAACAGTGAATATTTTTTCCCCTTGCCACAGCTACGCAGGGAAAGAATAGCAGAAAGGATAAGGGCTTTGCATGAAATTGTACCTACAGTGAACAAGGTTAGTATTGTTTTTTTTTTCCTGGAGCATCTGCTGTGAATATTGGGACTAGGTTGAGGACATTTCTCAGTTTTCCAAAGCACAAGTTACCTCAGAATCTCAAACATGGGTTTTAACAGGAGGGAAGTTGGTTCTTAGTTATCTCAATGGAAAAGAAAGAATTGGCAAAACTTGACCTGTGAACAAAGATGAAACCAATTTTTTTTTTTGTCAAAAGTTTTAGTTCCATTCCATTCCTTCAAAATTTTGTTTCTTTAGGTATGTTTCAAAGGTGTTGTGAATGCTTAGCTAAGTTTGAGTCTTTGAGATAGTATTTCTCAGCTGGTTAAAGACAGATTAAATTCGGAGTTCCAAAGAGTAACAATTCTTGTTTCTTCCATTTGCCTTTGTAGACAGATAGAGCTGCTATGATCGATGAAATTGTCGATTATGTAAAATTCCTCCGCCTCCAAGTTAAGGTACGTCTATTTTGAAGTGCCATTTCACTTTTAAACTCAAAATCACCTAATTTTCTTCCCCGTGAATATCTCATAGAACCCCTGTGTGGTTGTAGAACAAGATTTGGTGTCCACAAAGTTTCCTGTTTGCCCATTCACTAAAAATGCTGCCCTTCCTGAACACTAGAAACGTGGAAACTCATATTGAACATAGGTCGCATGTGAAGTTGTAGAAAAGGTTAAGTTTTCTGGATAGATTTGTGGTCTTAATCCTGGTCCCACCATTTCTGACCCTTGAAACCAAATTTAAGTCTTGAAGAAAATTTCTTTCTAATTTTTAATCTCATTTTTGCAAGAATAGATTATAGGATACGTCCTTCTATGCCGAGTGGTTACTGTTTAGCAATCCCCTTCTAGAAGTTTACATGCTTTAGTTTTGGCATGTAGTCTATCTTCAGTTTTTGTTTTTATTTTCAGAATTATGGGTTTTGGATTCCCAGATGAACATCAATCATCATGCTCACATATCTCAAAGCCTAAAATAATGGAGTATAAGATTATTATATTTGCCTTCACTCGTGGCCGTACAGCTACAATAATATGATGATTCTATCAAATGCAGCCGTGGAGAAGCTGTTGCTTGACGTCCTCGCAAGAGAAAAGCAATCCCTTTACTTTATAGGATCATTAAAGAATTATGAAATGATGAAAATGATAAGGCAATCTATTTTTAGTTTCTTGTAAAACCTTCCATGATGATCTAAGTTTTTTTTCCGTATCTCATCGTCTTCCCTTGTCCTTTTTTCACATGTCTAATATGCTTATCTTTTTCACAATCTTTTTTTTTTTATCCATTGATGTTTCACCGGTCAACTTTGGCAGGTTCTAAGCATGAGTCGTCTTGGTGGAGCCGGTGCTGTCGCTCCACTTGTCACTGATATGCCTCTGCCTTTGTCATCATCAGTAGAGGTGGCCAACCAAAATAGAGAAAACTCTGAAGTTTGGTATATTCAATATTGTAATCATCATCACCCATATTATCCATTGATCAGGATGAAGGAATAGAAGGAGGAAGAACGGAGCCAGCGTGGGAGAAATTGTCGAAGGACGGGACAGAGGGTCAGGTGGCTAAGCTGATGGAAGAGAACGTAGGAGCGGCAATGCAGTTCTTGCAATCAAAGTCACTTTGCATAATGCCAATCTCATTGGCAATGGCCGTTTGCCACTCTCAGTCTCAGCCCTCTGATACATCGTCTGGGGTGAAACCTGAGATGAATCCACCACCGTAGATGGAGGGAGGTGTGTACAGAATCCAACGGTCCACAGCTCATGTCACCACCCAACATGGTAAAAACCAGAGAGCCCTCTCATCTAATGGAGTATGATGCTTTTTTTTCTTTGCTTTTTGGCCTTTGCCCACTTCAGCAGAGTTGGAAAAGGCGTAGGAGATGGGATCAAAGTAGGATTTGCAGTGGGGAGGAAATTTGTCAAAAAGCTTAATTGATTAAAAATATGTCTGCTTTCTTCTTCTGTGGGTAATTTCAAGGTGGACTTTGATGAAAGCAGCTTTTGTTAAATAGCGAGTGGGCGGTTGAGGGAAGAGAGAGGGCTCTAAAGGGGTTTCGTTTTCTTTGTGGAAAATGGGTAGTGGGATGTGTGGGACCTTGTTCTAATGTACAAAAGTAATGTTGAATTTGTTGGCCCTTTGTATTATTATTGTTATTATTTTGTATGACAATAATAAAATAATAGTCAGTAATAGTTGTTGCCTCTCCTCTATAAAAGGATTCATTCTCCACCCTTTTTTCTCTTTTTTGTTATTTCGAATTCGTTTAGGAATCATGTGTTATTGTTACTTATTTTCTTGAATTCTTTTGTACAGTTATGCATGATTGTACTAACTCTAAATGTATCCAAAATCCTGCCGTGTGGACCGACCTATTATGTTTTTTGTGGGATTGACGTAGACAAAGGCACATGTTGTCAATGGTGCTGCGACTGTCGGCAATTGCTGATCCTGATTGATTGATTGATTGACTGACTATTACAAACATTGCTCGCTAATCTCACCACCACCACACTCGCTTACCTAAAAGCTGCATGTAGGTTTCAATGGAGATCCCAAAATCGTGGAGTTCTTACAAGACCGAGTCTCTTGTGGTTTCGCTACTCTCTCTGGCCATTAATGTAATTCAGAGCCGGCGAATGAAAACAAATACAAACAAAAAGGAATGTGTGACATAATTCAATTCAAGTGTACATGACAGCTTATTATTGCAACGACCGAGAAAGGAAAAAGCTCTGAAATTTTATGGGGGCTTAAAATCGGTCTGACAGCTTGAAAAATACAGGCAGGCAAACGAGTTTGTAAATAAAAGGAAATCGAACTCACCGAGTTTTGACTCAGCCACAGCAAACAAGCCTTGGATTTATTAGGACCATAACACTACTGGGATGGGGGTTTGAGATGTTTAGCATGCGTCAAGATCCCTGCAGGGTGGTGGCTTTGGCTCCCCCTTCAGAGTCGTGTTTCCTCCCTCCGGGCCGCCCCTTATTCTCTTCGGGTTTTGTGTTCCAGCCTGAATGCAAAATCAAAATTTACTGACTTTGATAGACCGATCATACATATGAATATAACACCGATCCATTGATGAGATGAATCACGTCTTACCGGTGGCTTCTCTCCTCTTCTCAGCTTCTCAACAATCTCGACCACTTTCTCAGGTGTAACATCTTCCTGTTGTCAGCATAAGACCAGGTTCATAAACTGCATAACACTGGTGGATAATGCGAGAAAATTTATTTGAGAGACCAACGCACGTAATAATTATATGTATATCCTTCTGATCCGTTAGAATAATCTGCTACAGTGATCATGGGTGCATTCACACAGCATCCCTGCACCAAAAACGATATGTTAGATTCTATTGTCTACCATTAATTTGGAGACATTAGCAGCAGTGGAAGTTCTGAATGGAGACATGTTGAAAAACCCATACCATGCATTCCATCTCCCCAACAGAGAACAAACCGTCCTTTGTCACCTCTACAAACCAAACACAAGTACCACTACTAGTTATGTCTGGACATAGCACTTTTAACTTTTATAGAAGGCTACTATATTCAGTATTAAAAGAAATTGAGAAAGATGCTGCATAAACCCTACCGTTGCGTTTCACTCCCAAATGCTTCAGTAATGCAGCTTCAATGTCTCGTGAACCACGGATCATGCAAGGTGTTGTGCCACAAACTAGTAAGTGGTACTTTCCCACCTGTGACACAAATGGAAACGACCTAGTGAGCTCACTAGCGGTTTGACTAGCATACTCATGAATGTGGTAGAACTAGCAGGCAACAATGCTTACCTTTGTCCTGTTGAACATTGAGTAAAACGTTGCAACCTCATAAACACGGATAGGAGCAACTTCTATGACTTTAGCAACCTGCAAAAAAAAAAGGGTGTGTTTCATTACCGATTCCCAATATCCAGATCTTCTATCCCCAGAAGGAATCCAGAGAAACACTAGAATTATGCTTTTAGAAACAAAAAAAAAATATTAGAGATGTCATACAGTGTACTTTGAGCAACTAGATCTGTTCGATATGGTCTTGGCAACTACCATTCCTGCCCTAGTAGAATTTCTAATCTCAATCTTGGAACTGATAGCTAAATGTTAGTAGCAATTTCTGACACAGAAATATTCGTCTGTGTAGGTCACTATATGATTAGTTCCAAAAGGACCGTCAGATACCCACCAAATTATTTCACGTAGAGATAGGTGCACAGAGTATCGATGCATATAGAACATACTTCAAACAATGCCTAAGCCAAAATGACTTTTCTAGATCAACGTCAAAGTTAAAATTTTAAGTATCAAGCTCGAAAAAAAAAAGTAGTTACAATAAAAAATATATTCCACAATCCAAGTTACAACTTACAATTACATTACAGACCTTAAAGCCAGTAAAAGAATATGTCAAGAAAAAAAAGCACAAACTCAAGGAGCTAGTGATGACATACCGCGTTCATAGCTGAGACAGGGAGCCAACCACCATGCTGCTGTTGTGCAAGATCTAGGAGAGGGATAACTGCGGATTGCTTGTAATTGGATGGATAGTAAGAGAGTATCTCTTTAACCTAACCAAGCATAAGAACCCTCGATCAGTCCAAGAAATGTGGTTTGTGAAGTTCCACTCGGTATTCAATATTTCCCTGGAAATCTAATACACCGCCACAAATGATTGTCACGGAATTTTCGTACCAAAAGTAAACCAGTCAGCTCAAAACTCTGAGCCTTCAGCAACTTACAAACTTTCTGACGTTCTTTCGGCTGCATTAGCAAATCTGGGGGCAATCTATTACTTCAATTCTTAATTATTTCGCTCTCAGGGCTATTATATTGGCTCTCACTACAGGGTGACGCACTACCTTCATAGCTACATGAGAGCATAAAACAGACAACCGATGATATCAGGAAACACCGCCAACTAGACACGATTCATTTCGAGATCCAAGACAAGGAGAACACTAGTTCTAACTAGGGCAAGTGACAATTCACATTCCAAATCAAGTTCGAATCTGGATAAACCTCCACTGGGTAGTCACAATCGAACTTTGTTCGCAATCAACATAAGCGCTCCATCAAGGACCGTAAGTGTTCGTCATCATCCTAACGAATAGAGTTTTTCACTGACCTTCGCTCTGTTTGCCTCAGAAAATTCCCATGGGATATCGGGATTGTTGTCCGGAGAATCAATGTGCTACAGAATCCAAAACAACAGAAACAAAAACCCCATTTCCAACTTCATAAAACAATTTCGAACAACTATCAGACGAAGAAAACATAGATCACCGAAAATATCAAAACTCACGTAGTTTAAGGCCGTAGACAAGCTCCTAGACGCCTGTACGAGAAAGGAGGAATAAGATCGGGAAATCCGAGGAAAAAAGAAGTAAACGAAAATCAGGAGAGAGAAAAAGGGATGGTACCTGAGAAGGAGATTGACGGAAAGCTTGACGGATCTCGAGGATACGATTCGCAGCGAGCCGAGCAAGCATTTTCGATACAAAGACAAGAGAAGAAGAGAAACACGAAGCTCTGTCGATCTGAGGCAGAGGAAATTGGGAGAGACGACGAAGGCATGCGCTAAGCATATGCCCCCGTGCAAGATTGGTAACGCGCGTTTGGGCCTGCTAAAGTGAGCCCAATCTGGTTATTGGGCCTATACGTGAGCCCATTATAACTAACGGGCCTTAAAACTTGGGTATAGGCCTTTCGTCAGATCCTACTGAAAGTTGTTATCCGAAAAATGGAAGCCCAAAATACAGAATTAAGGACATACATAGACCGGGCAAAACCCCAGTTGCGCTGTTCTATTTTCGTGGATGGATATCATAAGATATTTTAATTATTAAGATCTTTAACGAAAATATAATATATAACAATGATAGAAAAAAGGATAAGCATGAGGCATGATCCTAACTTGTAATGTAACTTTTATAAAGTGGAGAACCTAAAACAAATTGTAAGGAGGCGTAATAATTTTGTTATGAAGTATTTATTATGGAGCATTATACAATTTTATTTAAGATTTTATAAAATTAATAAAAATAAAATTCATTTTTGTGATTGCACAAATGGGGCCTATGACTCCATTAGTATACAAATATATCCAGCTCTACTTGTATTATATGCTTTGAAATTTTTGGTTTTGTATTGAAAGTGAAACTAATCAAATTTAGAGAATAATTAATGTTTTCTAGCCTTTCAGAGTTTAGTGTGTAGTGGTTAAAGAGTCCATGATTCTCCAAAAAATCCATTTGGGTGATTTATCTGTTCTACGTGATTTACAGACTATTATTATTACGTAGAGTTTGAAGTTTTATCAATGCACACAAAAATATTGTAGATGAGTTTCCGCCGTTACAAAAAAAAAACTCGTGTTTTTTATTAGTGAGTGGAAAAGTATATACAGAAAGAGAGGAATATATAAATGTTCTCTAGTCTAATATAAGGAGAAAATAAAATATATGTAAATATGTGAATATTTCGATTTAGAATTTCAATAACAAGTCATTAATTAACATCAAATTTCTACGTTCCAAAAAAAAAACAATTCTATGTTCCGACAACAATGCATTCATCATGACAACATTTTGGCTTTCATTTTCCCATATAACAAACGGCAAAAACCCTAAAACCACATTGAAGGGTTTCATTCATCGTGAATGCATGTTTTTATTCCATGGTTACATCGTCACGACTTGTGTAATGCACGCGTGCATGAAAAGCATCGACGTCGTCGTCTACATTTGCCTTGCTCGAGTGACCCCCTCCCCCTCGGATATAGTAAAACGACTCTTCGAGTTTCGTTAGAGCCATTTTTGATATATTCCACAAAAAAAATATATATACTTTATGTTATTTTTTTTACAGAAATAAATAAATATACAAGAAGGAATAAAAGAGCTAAGCTTTTCATGCAAGTATCTACAAAAAATGACCAGCGACGTGTCGCTTGTTCCCGCCCTTGTTCTCGGAATATCATAACGCTTATTGTTAGCTCTTTTATCTTCGCATATACGCATCATATTTTGGATATTATGGCAACGTATACACACACGTATATATGTATGTATATGTGAAAGATTTGGTGAAATCAGAAATCTTGTGGAAACGCAAGTTGGGTCCGTCTTCTTCACAAGGAATATGCTCTTCGCAGCAAAAACCCACCGTCAATTCCATCTCTTTAGTCCCTCTTTCTCCATCTTGTGAACGAATTGCCCATTTCTCCATTCGGATTCACTGGTCGATTTAAGATCCCGTGGATCGTAAAATCCGCTCCACACAAGAAAAGTGTCGACAACAATCTATAGCTCGACGATTCCATAATACGTATATGTTATAAGGAAATCGTCATATTCCAAACAATGTCCGAAGAATATCTTCCAATCTCCTCGTGTTCTTCAGGTCGTACGGCTTGTGCAATAACAGCCCCCGTGGTCTTAGTTGCTTTGGTTAAAAATATTTCCCGAATCAAAAACGATAAAAAGAATCTTCATCGGAATACTCTTTTATCATCGGTCTCATCATTGAATTCGAACATACAAAAACGAAAAAGAAAAAGAAAATCCGGGGCTATAAATACCCATATATATATATATATATATATATATATCACCATGCATACTCAAACAAAAACCAAACCGGAAGCTATATACACACACATACAGTAAAACGTCTATATACACATTCGCATATAATTAATGGAGAAGATATCGGGGATGTTGGAGGAGAAGCCGGTGGTGATATTCAACAGAATCCAAAACAACA